TGGTTTGTTTTTTTTTAAGGAAAGGAGAGGTTTTGGTTTGGTTTTTTGTTTTGGTTTGGTTTTTTTTCGTTGTTTTTGGTTGGGTTTTTTTTTGCTATGCTGTACTGAGTGCGTGCTGAATATATTCGTTCCTTCACACAGCTGGCTGGGGTGTTTGTGGTGCCTGTTCTACATGTAGGGTGTAGTGGAGGAGGAGGAGGAGGAGGAGGAAGGCCCTGCCTGGCTTTGGAGCTGTGCAGGAAGGAGCAGGGATGCCCAGGGCTGAGCCTTCCTCCCCCAGCAGCATCCTGGGGGTCTTGGGGCCAGGCTGGAGGGTGCCTGGAGGCAGCACAAGGCATTCAGGCCCCCAGTGGGGTTCCCTGCTGGGAATGGGACCCAAAGAGCCCCTCACACCTCTGGAGGGGGGTGGCACAGCACCTGCAGAGATGGTGCATTTAGCCCCCCCTGCCTCTGGGGCTTGAGCTGGGTTTGGTTTTGTTTCCATTGTGATGGCAACAGGAACTGGCTCATTTTTTGGTACTCTCTCCTTTTTGACACTTGTGTGGGTTTTTAAATCTGTTCATTTCACTTAAGCTGGACATTAAGTGTTTAAGGAACTGTCGGGGGGTGGGATGGGGGCACAGGGGGTCGTTGGGGTTTTGTTTACTTTTTGGCAATGTCCAAAACATGCCACAAACATTTCAGGGCGAGCAAGAATCTGGAGCTCACGGAGCTGCCCCAGCTCCATTCCTCTCTCTTGGCTTTCTCTGCATTGATTTCCTGAGGTCCTTTCTGGTTTGGAGCTGTTTGGTTTATCCACAGGCCTGTGGTTTTGCTCCTCATCCCCAGCTGATGTTGATGTACCAAGCAGCAAGGCTGGAGTGTGCTGGCATCCCTGCTGGAAGGGTGCTTGGAAGAGCAGGAGGGATGCTTGGAAGAGCAGGAGGGGATGCTGAGCTGGAAGTTGTGCTGCTGGTGGGGATGGAGGTGCTGGGTTAACTCCTCACGGATGAGAAGAGCTGTTAGGAAGTCCTAACAAATAAAGGCTGAGGTTAGGATTGGTGGGAAGGAGTGGGTGAAGAGCAGCACTGAGGTCGAGGAGTGCAGCCAGGAGATTTGGGGCTTGTTTGGAGAAGGACATGAGATCCTGGGCAAGGTGGGCAAAGGGAAGCCCGGGGACACAACTGGGATGGTGGGGAGTTACTGGTGCTGGAGAAAATCCCATGCCATGGAAAGGCCTGGAGTGCTGGGGGTTAGGAAGGAGCTCCCAGAGCTGTGCAGGAAGCCTGGCTGCTCACCCAGCCCCACCTGGGAACACCTTGTTCAAGAGATTTCCTTTCTTTTTATCCCCTTTGTTTAATTTTGTTCCCTTTCCTCCTTCTTGACTTTCAAGAAAATAAATCTGTACAATCTAGGGGAGATGTATGAGAAGAGTTCTGTCAGCAGCCACCAGGATTATGGGAAAAACACATATATGGTTACATGGTATCTCCTATCACCATTAGAACAATGTGAAGAATTGCTTAAAAGGATCATGTCAATTATATATATATATATATTATATAAAATATATATATATAGTTTTTCATTTTTTTTACTCTCTGTGGTTTGTAAGATTATTTTAGAGGCTTGGAAATAAAATTTCCTTCCCCCACCTATTTTCTTCCTCTTTTTCCTCCTCCCTCTCCCCTCCCTTTTATTTGGGAAGAACAAAACTTGGTCTCTCCCTGTGTCCCTGCCAAGCAGCAAACAAAGCTGGAATTGCACCTCCTGTCTCCAGTGGAGGGGGCTTAAAGGTTGCCCAGGTGAGGGGGGTGTGGTATTAATTCCTGACATTGCTCTGTTTCATGTCCTGTGGGTCTGGTGGCTCTTCCTCTCCAGCTGTTGTTCAGAGGAGGTGGCTGAAGGGAGAAGATGAAAGAGAATAGGTGAGACACGAGGAGGAAATTCTTCCCTGTGAGGGGGGTGAGAGCCTGGCCCAGGTTGCCCAGGGAAGCTGTGGCTGCCCCATCCCTGGCAGTGTTGAAGGGCAGGTTGGATGGGGCTTGGAGCAGCCTGGGCTGGTGGGAGGTGTCCCTGCCCATGCAGGGGGTGGGACTGGATGGTCTTTGAGGTCCCTTCCAACTCAAACCAGTCTAGGATTCAATGAACCTTTCCCTGTGGATGC